TAATTCAATCTCTGACACATATCCTTGCAATGCAAGGTCACTATCCAAATGTTCACGCCACAGCTTCTCCAAAGGCTCACATCCTGCTGCTATTAACATAGTAATCACTCCATACGTATTTGTTGGGTAAATGAATTATCAGCTAGTATGTTCTAATAATGAAAATATAATCCTAGTTCTTGACTAAATAAAGCCTTTTAGCTAGGGAACTAAAACATTCATCAAACATTTGTGTAGCATAGAGAGAAGGTACTAAGTGTATGACTTACTGGCTCTGTGACTGTTTGCAAGTTACTTAATTGCTCTTGGCCTCAGTTTCCTAATTTATAAAACATGGATGATGATGCTTCACAGGGTTGTAATGAGAATGAATTATATAAGGCGCATTAATATGTTATCTTAAGTGCTGACACAATATCTGGCGTAGAGAAGAGGAGTTGTATAGTTTTAGTTAACTATTCGCTGGGATGCCTGGGTGACATAGTCAGTTGGATATCTGTCTCTTGGTTTGAGCTCAGGTCTGATCTCAAAGTCATGGGATTGAGCCCACTATGGGGCTCCACGTTCAGTGCAGACTCTGCTTGTGTTTCTTTCTCCCTCTCCCTCTGCGCCTCGCCTCCACTCTCTGTCTCCCTCTCTAAATAAATTTAATTAATTAATTAAATTAATAAATAAAATAAACTGTCAAAAGATAATAGACAAGAGGAATGGAATAGTTTTATTAAACTATCAAAAGGTAAACAATAAGTAGACAATCTGAATAGGCCTATATCTATTAAAGAGATAAATTTCTTTATATAATTCTTTTTTAAAAAAAGATTTATTTATTTAATTCATGAGAGAGAGAGAGGCAGAGACATAGGCAGAGGGAGAAGCAGGCTCCATGCAGGGAGCCTGATGTGGGATTTGATCCTGGGACTCCAGGATCACGCCCTGGGCGGAAGGCAGGTGCCAAACCGCTGAGCCACCCAGGGATCCCTCTTTATATAATTCTTAATAATTAATAACCTTCCAAAAAAAAAGCATCAAGCCCAGGTGGGGTCTTTGATGAATTCTACCAAACATTTAAAGAAGAAATTATACTAATTCTCTACAATCTCTATCAGAAGATGGAAACAAAAAAAAAAAAAAAAGAAGAAGAAGATGGAAACAGAGGGAATACTTCCTGATGTCTATGAAGTCAGCACTATCCTAATATCAGAATCAGAAAAATAAAATCTATGAAAAACACAAAACAAAACTACAGATCAATATCTTACATGAACACAGATATAAAAACCCACAACAAAATATTAGCAAACTGGGGATGCCTGGGTGGCTCAGCAGTTTAGCGCCTGCCTTCCACCCAGGGCATGATCCTGAAGTCCTGGGATCAAGTCCCACATCGGGCCTGTGTATGTATGGAGCCTGCTTCTCCCTCTGCCTCTCTTTCTCTCTATAAATAAATAAATAAATAAATAAATAAATAAATAAATAAATAAATAAATAAAGTCTTTAAGAAAAATTAGCAAACTGAATCAACAATACATAAAAATAATTATACACCACAACCACCAACTGAAATTTATCCTAGGTATGCAAAGCTGGTTTCACAGTTGATAATCAACTAATATACTCCATTGCATCAATAGGCAAAAAATAAGAAGTCACATGATACAGAATCAATAGATACAGCAAAAGCATTTGACAAACACTAACACCCATTCATGATAAAAACAGTAAACTAGGAATAGAGGGGAACTTCCTCAATATCGAAAGGAGCAGATACAAAAAATCTACAGTTAACTTCACACTTAATGGTGAAAAACTAGAAACATTCCTGCTAAGATCAGAAATAAGGCAAGGATGTCCACTCTCACAACTGCTTTTGAACATCGCATTGGAAGTATTTAGATGAATAACGGAGTTAGAAGGTACACAGATTGGGAAGGAAGAAATAAAACTGTCTATGTTCACAGAAGACATGACCATTTATGTAGAAAATATGAAAGAATTGACAAAAAACTGAAATTAATAAGGAATTATAGTAAGGCTATAAGACACAAGGTTAATGTACAAAATTCAATTGCTTTTCTATATACTAGCAATGATCAAGGGAAGTTTTAAATTAAAAACATATTATCATTTATATTATCACCCCCCAAAATAAATACTTGTGTGTAAATCTAACAAAATATGTACAAGCTCTATTTGAGAAAACTATAAAACTCTAATGAAAGATATCAAAGGATAACTAAATAAACGGAGAACTGTTTCATATTAATAGATAGGAAGGCTACAGTAATCAAGACACTGTGGTATTGATGAAAGAAAAGACAAATAGATTAATGGAACAGAATAGAAAGTTGAGAAATAGACCTCCATGAATATAATTAATTGATTTTTGACAAAAGAACAAAAATAACACAATAAAGCAAAATAGTCTTTACAACAAATGGTACTGGAACAACTGGACATCCGCATGCAAAAAAAAAAATCTAGACACAGACCTTACACTCTTCATAGAAATTAACTCAAATTAGACTATAGACCTAAATATAAAACTCAAAACTAAAAGCCCCTAGAGGTTAATATAGGAGAAAACCTAGATGACCTTAGATATAGCAATGACTTTCTTAATACAATACCAAAAACACAACCCATGAAAGGAATAATTGATAGCTTGGATTTCATTAAAGTTAAAAACTTCTGCTCTGCAAAAGACTATGTCAAGAGAACGAGAAGACAAGACAAGCCAAAAACTGGGAGAAAATATTTGCAAAAGACACATCTGATACAGGACTATTGTGTTTTTTTTTAAGATTTTTTATTTATTTATTCATGAGAGACACATACAGAGAGAGAGAGAGAGAGAGGCAGGGGCACAGGCAGAGGGAGAAGCAGGCACCCACATCGAGTCTGATGTGGGACTCGATCCCGAGTCTCCAGGATCACACCCTGGGCCAAAGACAGGCGCTAAACTGCTGAGCCACCCAGGGATCCCCAGGACTGTTGTTAAAAATAAGCAAAGAAAGAAAAAATAAATAAATATAAAATAAAATAAGCAAAGAACTCTTAAAATTCAGTAATAAGAAAATGAATAACCTGAGTCAAAAATGGGCAAAACGCCAGAACATACACCTTACCAAAGAAGATATACCCATGGCAAGTAAACCTACAAGATGATGTTCAACATCATATGTTACTAGGGAAATGCAAGTGAAAAACAGTGCGATACCACTACACACCTATTAGAACGGCCAAAATCCAGAACAGGGACAACGCCAAATGCTGATAAGGAAGTGGAGCAACAGGCATCCTCATGTGTTGCTGGTGGTAATATGGAATAGTACAGGCATTTTGGAAGACAGTTTCTTGGACGGTAGTTTCTTACAAAACTAAACACACTCTTACCACGTGACCCAGTAATCATGTTTCTTGGTATTTACCCAAATGAACTGGTAGCTTATGCCCACACAAAGCCCTGCACAGATGTTTATAGTATCTTTATTTATAATTGCCACTTAAGCAATTAAGATGCCCTTTAGTGGGTGAATGGATAAATAAACTGTGGTACTTCCACACAATGAAATATTGTGCAACTCTAAAAAGAAATGAGCTAGTAAGCCATGAAAAGACATGGAGAGATGCTAAATGCATGTTACTAAGGAAAGAAGCCAATCTGAAAGGCTACTCACTGTATGATTCCAGCTACATGACATTCTGGAAAATACAAAACAATGGGAACAGTAAAAATATCAGTGGTTGCCAGTGGCGGGTGGGTGGTGGGTGGGAATGGACAGACAGAGCAGAGAGGATTTTTAGGACAGTGTGAGTGTCCTCTGTGATACTACAATGGATGCATGTCATTATATATTTGTTTGAACCCATAGAAGGTGCAACACCAACAGTGGACTTTGTAAATATGTAAACTATGTAAACTATGGACTTCGGTAAATAAAGATATGTCTGCCAATGTAGGTTCATTGAATCCAACAAATGTTCCACTGTGGTGTAGGATATTGGTTGTGGGAGAGGTTGTATGTGGAGGGGGACATTTTATATATATAAAATATATTTACATACAAAATATATTTTATATATATAAAATTTGTGTTTGTATATTTATATCATTTATTATACATAATATGTTTAATAAAAAATAATGATATCTTGCCATTTGCATATGGGTAGACCCAGAGGGTACAATGTTAAATAAATCAGACAGAAAAAGACAAATACCATGTGATTTCACTCATGTAGAATTTAAGAAACCAAATGAACAAAGAAAAAAAAGAAACAAACACAAAAACAGACTCAAATACAAAGAACAAGCTGATGGCTGCTAGACTGGAGGTGGGGGGATGGGTGAAATAGATAAAGGGGATTAAGAGCACACTTACATTGATGAGCACTGAAAGATGGATAACATTGTTGAATCACTATAATGTACAGCCAAAACTGATCAATAACACTGTATGCTAATCATACCTTAGTAACACTTAAAAAAATAATTTAAAAAATATCGTAGGCTCTTCAATCAGGCTGTCCATTATTGTCAATTATTGTCAATCCCAATAACACTTTCCCTGTGAGTCAATTTTTTCATCTCTGAAATGGGGGTAATAAGAATACCTATCTGTGTTTTCAAGAGAAGTAAATGATATTTAAATTGCTTGAGTGTCTTGTAATACATTTCAGTTCAATAAATCTTAGCTATTATTTCTTTTACACATTTAAAAACATGTTTATCTACAACATCTTACTGAATTATCCCAGCTTCCCTGCAAGATTGGAATGGCTGTCCTCGCCTCACTCTACAGATGAAGAAACTATACTTTGTGGGGAGACTCAATGGTTGGCCCACATCTCAGTCAGTAAGTCACAGCAAGAAGACTCTAACACTGACTTTTCTCCTCCAAATCCTGTTCACAGTGCTTTCTACCACCTTTTTCATCAGCTTTCCACTCCTCGTGGTATTCTGGTTTCTTCACTCCTTTGAGTCTGACTTTCTTTGGCAGATCCCTAGCACAACCCAGACATGAGGTTGTGGAAGAGACAGGGAGCCCGTGGCAGAGCCTGGACACCTATTCCTATATCAGATATCACCCTATGGAGGAGGTAAGGGAGGACACACGGAGTTTGGTGGTGGCCACAGTCTATGTAGGAGGGGCGAGGGATGATTCACTGGTTAATATCCATTAGGCTAGAGAGTCTCAAAATGTGAGGTTGAGATTTGCCTGTGCACTGAGTTCAAGGGATGGCAGAAAATCATCTTTTGATCACCACCATCGAAGCTATAAATGCTGTCATATGAAATAAAAAGGCAAACCACAAGGAAAAGGAGGTAAAGAATCCTCTAGCCAGTTTTGCTCATGTGAACGTGGACTAAAATTAACCCTTACTCTTGTTTGTCAAGTACTTAGCTGGTTTCAGCAGGCAAGGCCAATATAACACATGTGGGTGTGGGATATGGAGTGGAGAGGTCTCGTGATTTAATCACATTTAGCTGAAAATGTGGCATTTCTTGTAGGATACAAAGGATGCAGGCAGTAATTCTTAAGAGGGGAAGATTTCTTTTAAAGAAATACTCGTATTGCTACTAAAATGAGTTTGGTTGTTTTTGAAACTGGATACAGTAGAAAAAAAATTAGCTACTATATATGCATATTTGTGGGGTGTGTGTGTGTGATTTTATGCAAAGCTTTTTCTGAAGTGTAAATTTCTAAACATAGAATTTTTGGGTTAAAGGATAAGCACATCTACATTTTTATATAAATGCACAAGTTGCCTTCCAAATAGGCTTTACCATTTATTCCCTCAGCATTTGGGAGTATATTAATATTTTCCAGAATTTTTTCAAAGAATGCAAGAATGAATTTACACATTCTTCTGAAACATTAACCCCCCCCCCCCCAAGTACTGGAGATTCTAAAAATTTGAACAAGGTCCAGGAAGGCCTATGGAAAGCTTATGCTCTAATATCAGAGATAGGTCACACCTGGCTTGGCCACTTGCTCTATGACCTTGACCAAGGCATCCATTCAGATCTCCTCAAATGGATCAAAAATTATTAATTTGGAATTGATTTAGAAACTTCTATTGCATGTTCTGTGAAGGGCATTTCCAGTTCTTCTCTAATCTTGGCTCTGTGGCCATTAGCAAAGGATATTGTTGGGGCCCAAAAGGATCCACCCAAATCAGCCTGACCTGAAACTGCTGGCATGATTGGCTGCCACATGGAAGTCTAGAGGTGTGTGGCCATTTGAAGGATGTGTTATTGGATGATGTTTCTGAAGTGTTATCAGTGGATTATTGAAACTATTCTCAATAACTTATTTGTGAAGTTCAATAGGATGTTCTAAGATCGAATGGCAGAGTAGATCCTTACAGAAAATGGGAGGGGATCAGCAATAATTCAGTGGTTTAGTCTCGTAGTTTGTTTAGCACAGAGTGTAATGTAGAGCAAATAGTCCAGAGTTCAGTATCTTAATGAGAAAAGCAGTTATCTTAATTAGAGGCAAGCAAACGATTTTCTTATTGATATCCACAATCCTCCCTGGCTGTTTCAGATCTATCAGTGGATGATCCAGATAAGTGAGAAGTACGCAGGAGTGGCGACACAGCATTTCCTAGGCATGACCTATGAGACCCGGCCCATGTATTATTTGAAGGTGAGTGAGAGGGATGGGAATTGCCTTACTTACTTAGTTCACTGCCCGTTTACCACTTTCTGTAGACATGTTCATTTACAAAGCATATTCCCAAATTTGAGAGTTATCTAGAACTACAAAAAAACCCTATTGGTTCTGAAATTGAATTTACCCAGAAATGGAGTGAATGGTTGATATGGTAAGCATGGGGCACCTACCTACTTGATTTTCAAAGGGCCATCAAATTCTGAGCTGAGTCAGCCAAAAAAGATATCTAAATATTCCCTGTCTGGGGCATATTTTATTTATTTTATTTTTAAAGCATTTTTAAAAATTTATTTATTCAGAGAGAGAGAGACTGAGAGGCAGAGACACAGGCAGAGGGAGAAGCGGGCTCCATGCAGGGAGCCCGACGTGGGACTCGATTCTGAGTCTCCAGGATCAGACCCCGGGCTGCAGACGGCGCTAAACCGGTGCGCCACCGGGGGTGCCCTGGGGCATATTTTAAAGAGTAGAATTGGTGTATAATAAGGAAGCAATAGAAATAAATATATAATCAAACACAGGTACTCATAAAAGGGGTAATTTTAAGAGGGAATAAAGATAAAAGTTAGATTAGGAAATATGCTGGCAGTTTGGAAAATGGGTGAAGCTCTAGGGAAAAAGTTCCTTGAATATGATGGATCCAGTCTGGTCTTTATCTCAATTTGTAAGTTTCTCACTGATGAAGAGGAAGACTCCTCATCAGCCCACCTCCCAATGGCTTTCAATGAATGGCTGGAGTCTAGGTCATTTACATTCAAAACAAATGTGACTTTGACAAACTTGGGAGTGTTCACTACCTCTTCTCCACCAATGAGAATCCACACTTGCCAAGTTAACCAACCCACCCCTCTGAAAGAGGAAGAGATCTTTTTGCTGGAGTGAGGCTGAACTGATATATAAGAATGGCACAGGGGAGAAAGGAAAGAAGACTGGGTTGACTGGGAATGGTGGAGTCTCTAAGGAAGAGAGGGATTTAATGAATTCAGTAAGTATTGCAGGAAATTACGCATTTGGATGCATTCGCAGTTTCAGGAAGTTTAAATGAAGACCAAGATTCATTTTTAACACCGTGAACCTTACTTCTGGTATACTTTACCACTTTAAGTGAACCTTGTGTGGTAAGGTTTTATAAGATATATTGAGATTTAGCCTCCTGGTTTGTGGGTTGGCCATTTCTGCCTTTATCCATAATTAGAGACTAGTTTAGGGTAGGGAAGACTAGGCTTTGGGTCGGGGACATCCAGAGTCAGCACATGGGCCTAAGAATAGCCACCCAAGGTACCTGGCAGGGGAGCAAAAGCAGCCATGGAAAGGGTCATAGTGGCGGGTGTCTCTGCCATCACCCCTGCCTCATGCTTGAGATCACAGAGTGGAGGAAGAAAGGGACCTGTAGGGTAATGAAAAACCAAATAACTTGCACAGCAGCTTATGATTATAGCAATTGTTTGGTAACAGAGCACGAATGTCCCCTTCAGATCAGCCAGCCATCCGATAACCCCAAGAAGATCATTTGGATGGACTGTGGAATTCATGCCAGGGAATGGATTGCCCCAGCTTTTTGCCAATGGTTTGTGAAAGAAGTAAGTGTCTTTAGCTTTCTTGTAATGGTTAACTGCCTAACAAAATGCCTGTCACATCTCAACTATGTAGAAAGCACGCTTCGCTCACAGGTAGGCAATGCAGCCCTCTACTGAGTTACTCCTTCACCCCAAGGGAAAAGGAAACTGAGTTAGGTATTATGATCTCTTTTTAGTGGATCCAAAATACTTTGTACTGGAAGGCAAATGTATCTAAATGTAGAAGACAATACATCATGGAAGTCAGAGATGAGTAAAGCCTGGTGCTGCCTTTTTCAGATAGTCTTGGGCAAATTTTCTAACACCAGGACTCCTAGTTTTTTGCCTGCAGGAGGAGCTTGGAATGGCCTTTCCAAGGAGTCTGCAAGTGCAGATGAAGAGATTTATGGTGTGGAAAATACCTACTCAGTGAATTGTTACATTTTAGCTCCACCCTACAAATTATTTTTTGTGTCAGTCTTTACAAAAGCCACAACAGAAAGAAACCCATAAAGAGTAGTTCTCAAAGTGTGGTTTCTAAACCACTAATATTAACATAACAGAGAACTTGTTAAAAGTGCAAATTCTGGGGCTTCACCTCACCAACTTCTACAGAGTGGATTAGGGGTAGGGGATGGAGGGGGGGAGGAGAGCCAGGCACTCTCTATGTTAACAAGCTCTCCAGGTGATTCTGATGCAAAATAAAGCTTGAGAACCACTACCACAACAAATAGGACAACTGAGGCAGGGTTAGGGAACAGGAGGGTAGAGGTTCCTCATGCAATCACCTCTTATAATTAAGTTGAAATTGTTAGGAAATTGAAAAAAGACCTCTTTCCCTGAGCATTTCAAATGTTTCTTAAATTTCCAGATTCTACAAAATTATAAAGACAACCCAAGGATAGGAAGATTCCTTAGAAACCTGGACTTCTACGTGCTTCCAGTTCTTAATATAGATGGTTATATCTATACTTGGACAACTGTGAGTACATTGAGCATGGTTCCGGGATGAGTCCATGAACTAGATCTTGACTCAGGTTCATTTTACTGACCTTAGTCATTGTAGCGATGGGAATGTTTTGTGGTCAGGTAAAGAAAGAAACCCCATTTGGGATAAAAAATCAACTCAATATTGTTAAGCCACCAATCTACATCAAATTTAGGACGGAGAAAGTGGAGGTCTTGTTAGAATTGAAATCCAGCACGTGTTTTTATGTCTGTTTGTTTTTGACATCTTCCCAGTTTTGCAGCCAGACTTAACTTTTCTCCAAGTCCACCTCCTTCCACTTTGTGGACTTCCTGTCAGATTGGTATAAAATTCATATACTACCATGTACCCAGTTTTGAAGCATGACGGGTACAAATGATGTATAAATTCTAACCCAACTTTCATTTTCCACTGTGATCATTCACACAGGAGTCAGATGTCTCATACAGTTTTTAGTTAAAAGAAAACTCTCTCTTTAAAATGTCTCAAAAAGAAGATCACTCCACAAACAAGAATCCCTGTTTCTAGAGAGAATTCATTTCTTCCTTTTTCCCTTTGCTCCCCACAAAGTGGTTCCTGGGACCCCTTTCTCTGCAACAGCTTTTCAGCCTGGGTATTAGTCAAATTCTTCCCTCCAAGCTTGTCTGGAGAAACTTGTCTTTAAGCTCATCTCCACTCATCAGTCTTCTGCTTCCAGAAATGTGCAGAGACCATCACTGATACACCTGGAACAGCCTTTTTCCATCTGCCAGGCTATTTACCTTTCATCTTGTATCACTCGGACATAAAAAATGACTCTCTGAAGCTTTCCCTGATTAAGCAGATCACGTCCACAAGGCACTGCTAATCTGCTCTTGAGGAAAAGGCCATACTCCCTCCAAGCTGATGGTTTACATGTAGGTGTGCTTGGGTTGGACAGATGTTCCTGTTATTGGGTGTTGCTGGCCCATCTGTGAGACTAAAAATTATATGCACAAGCTTCATTATGTTAAAGGCAAGTTTTTCCAGACAATCGTAGGGTCTATTTTTTATGTTCCAGGCCCACCCACTCATCACCAACACTGTGATTTATGAGACCCTAGGACAGAAGCATTTCTATGTTCCTCTGTTACAGGATAGGCTTTGGAGGAAATCCCGTTCATCTCATAATAACGGCACATGTTTTGGGACAGATCTCAATAGAAATTTCAACGTTTCCTGGTGTAGTAAGTACATGTTTACTTGGTGACTTGATGAGCAAAAAATGGAGAAGAGAAGCTAGGACAGAGGTGAATTACTGGAGATATAACTTTCAAAAATAAACATCTAATTTTGCACAGCTCTCTGGACTTCTGGACCAGTGTTTTCGCTCTAAGGGAGGACATTACCTATGCAGTAAGAACCAGCAACACTCAAGTGCAGGACCCTTGTCAAGTGGGATTGACTACACATGGGCAAAGAAGACCTAGCTCAAAGTGAAAATGTTTGAAAGCTATCACTTTATTTGTAAATATATAAATTTTCATGAAGAAAAGAAAAATAAGAGAATTATCCTCACAGATTATTTTTATAGCAGGGAAGCAGAAGTAAATAAAGCAAACATTTCCTTCTCCCTAAGGCATGTTCATGTTTCTGAATCTCAACATGCCCAGCGAATCAGAAGCAAAAAAGGAGGGGGAAATGGTTAAAGAGCAATCTGGTTAAAAACCAGATAGTAAGGGTTAACATTCAGTCTTGGCCCCTGTGTGGTCTTCATCTTCCTGCTTTAGTTTTCTCTTATTTAAAATGTGGTCCATGGTCATACCATCCAATCAGTAGGCCCCTGTGGGGATTTGATGAGTTGTCAGGTAGGAGGGGCTAATGGCAGTGCCCTGCGTGTACAAGGTGCTCAGCTGCTGGTCCTTATCATCATCACTGAGAACAGACCACTGTGTCCTTGCAAAATAGCTCTAATGAGACAGAAGCCATTGAGACAGACAGACAGACAGGCTTAGGTCAATGAGGCTATGTCAGAGCCTGTCCTAGGAACCAGACATGTGGTTCCCAAACATCTGCTTCAGGACCCAGCTGCAGGTTTCCATGAAAGATTACTGAAAATGCCATTTCATTTTGCATCCTCTTTGTGGGCCATGGAAGCGGGGAGTTGGTCTCTAAATCTGAATGTCAGCCCTCCTACCTTTCTGAGTTCCTCCCTGAATGACTGTCCTCATTCCTTAATGTAACCAGAAGGAACTTGGATAAGCCAGGGCAAGCCTTGATGCCACCCACAGATTGCCCTGAGGAGGGGGGGGGACTCCTCGTCCTCCATCTGTTCTAAACTGGTATCACGTTGGCTCCTTTGTGGTTTTCTGGATATCCCAGGTATTGGCGCATCGAAAAACTGCCAGGATATAACATTCTGTGGCTCAGGACCAGTATCAGAACCAGAGACTAAAGCCGTTTCCAGCTTTGTGGAGAGCAAGAAGGAGAGCATCGTGTGCTTCCTGACCATGCACTCCTACGGGCAGCTCATCCTCACGCCTTATGGCTACACGAAAAATAAGTCCAGTAACCACGAGGAACTGGTAAGACCATAGCACCAGAGCTTTTACAAAAACTTCCGTGGGACCCTTGCTTTCCTTTCCCTGGTTTCCATTTTCAGGATTTTGACTCCAGCCCTGCTTTTGTTCTCTCTACTCTTCCTTATTTTCTTTCTTCTGCTTCTTACACCTTGCCAGACGCCTGCTGGGGAGGCTTCAGGTTAAATGCTGCTTTACCTACATTAATTAACTACCTGTTTCGTAAAGTGTCAAGTTGGGAGACATCTTAGGTATTCGTCTATAATATAAATGAGACGATTATGTTAATAATCTGCAGGAATGTGCTTTCATTTCTGTAAATTCTCTTGAAGCTCCGTTCAGCAATTATAGCTTTTGAACCGTGCTTTAAAGAACTTGCCAGCTGTTAGTGGAATATGGCATATCTAAAATAACATGGCTAAATAATATCTGCTCTCTTCTCTGCTAAACACAATGCTTTATTTTCTTCTAAGCTCTGCTTCTAGTATTTGCTTAGGGATATGTGTAAGGGGAAGTGCCAGCAGAGTCCAAGCCCGGCCAGGGGAAGTGTGCTTTGTTACATCCGGGTCCTCTGAAGCTGTGTTTGCTCGACACAGTTGCTGCAAAGGCCTGGCCTCTGCCTTTTTGTGCAGCTGAGGACACAGACACAGATCAAAGGGAGGGTAAATTTAGGATTGTTGTAATATTCGTTATCTTTTTTAAAACATTATTTTTTCCCATTTTTAATTACGGTGAAATTTGCATGACCTAAAATTTACCATCCTCACCATTTTTAGTGTTAAGTATGTTCACCTCATTGCGCCACTAATCTCCAAAACTCCTTTGTCTTGCACAGTGGGCACTCTATACCCATTAAAACAATTCCTGGTCCCTGTTGCTTCTGAAGGCCACCATTCTCTTCTCATTTTCTGAGTTTGACTGCTCTAGATGCCTCATACAAGTGGAATCATACAGTATTTGTCTTTTTGTGATTGACTTATTTCACTTAACACATGTCCTCAAGGTTCATCCATGTTGTATCATCTGTCAAAATCTCCTTCCTTTTTATGGCTTAATAATATTCCATCATGTATATGTATCACATTTTCTTTTTTTTAAGATTTTATTTATTTATTTATTTATTTATTTATTTATTTATTTGAGAGAGAGAGAGAAAGATAAATAGAGGCAGAGACACAGGCAGAGGGAGAAGCAGGTTCCATGCAGGGAGCCTGACGTGAGACTCGATCCCAGGTCTAGGTCTCCAGGATCAGGCCCTGGGCCGAAGGTGGCGCTAAACCGCTGAACCACTGGGCTACCCTCATATTTTCTATATCCATCATCCATCAGTGCATATTTGAATTGTCTCCACCTTTCAGCTACTGCAGATAATGCTTCTATGAACATAAGTATACGAATCTCTTTGAGATGCCACTTTCAATTTTGGGGGTATACAACCAGAAGTAGAATTGATGAATCATACAACAGTTTTGTTTTTAATTTTTTGAGGAAAAAATCATACTGTTTTCCATAGTGACTGCACCATTTTCTATTCTTTTCTATTTTTTTTTAAAACAAGCTCCTCGTGGGGCTTGGATGGAGGCTAAACTCAATCTGCTCTTGAGCTCACAGAGGTCTGGGGACCCACTGGTTCTCTTATGTGTCCTGTCCTTCTCCCACTGAAACATGACCTGGAGAACACATGTCTGGGCATAAAAAGAAAAACCACTATCAGTCTTTGCTGAAGGGAGCCTTTTCTCCAACAGTCAAGAATATCCAGTAGTACCCCAATATCTTTCTCGCAGTGTTTTTGGACATTTGTACTATGTATTTTGTAAGATGTGACAATAACTAACATTTGCTTAGCACTTTACAATTTACAAAGGGATTTTAGGACCATTATCTCATCTGACCTGAAGACAATATAATAACCTCACTTTGGAAATGTGGAAATTGACACCTTAAATTAGCAATAGACAGTGATTGGTAGAGCCTGGGTTGGAACTCATGTCTTCAGACTCCAGAGGCTACATTCATTCAGTCTCTTCGTACTGCCTCTCTGCTCAGAAAGGACTTGCGACTTCTAGGAGCTCCTATCAACTTAGATGACCAGATCACTGTGTCCTCTTTCCTTCTTTTCTTGAGCTCTAGAAATTTCATTTCCTCAGTAAAGGAAGCTGCAGAAACAGAGATTTCAGTTGAGAAGCCCAGAACCCATTTTATTTCCCAGTTCTTGTGGTATTTGTGTAGATGTCTACTTTCTGCTTGAAGGGATATGTGACAAACACAAATGAACCATCAAAGATAGGCCATTATAGATCCTTAATGGACCAGGCCTTCCACCAGCCAAAAGGCAGCCTGTAACCCCTGGTACTTTTATTTATTTATTTATTTTTTAGAGAATTCTGTTCTCTTCTTGGCTCAGGAAAACAGATATGACCATTTTGCAGAGTTTGTATTCAAAGGTGAGAGGGTCTTGTGCTGTTGGTTCTCTGGTTAGAGCCCTCTGGCCACAGACTAGAGGATGTGAAAGGGCAGGAAAGACCTGTGGCACTGAAATTGCCATGACTGGAAGGAACTTGAAGGTGGGAATTACTGAGAACCTGTTAATACCATATGCAGAAATGGGCATACTGAATTGAGAAAGGTTGCTTCAATTCTGTATCTCTTACCAGTCTCAGGTGCTGAGGAGTTAGCATAAACATTCATCTCCAAGACAATAAAAAGACAGTGTGAAAATTTTGCCATCTTGTGTCAACCTCATTGAAGCTAGCTAGCTAGCAGTGGTTTTAGGTTCTTAAGAGTAAGCTCTGGTAGAGTGCACAAAGACACAGAATCAAGCCAACTATTGGAGGAGATCTCCATTTTTGGTACTATTTACAACTACCAGAGACTAGTAATTAATCTCTATATATTTACAAAACCAAAATTTGTAGAAATTATGATAAATATTATATGGCATGATAGACAACTTGGCAATCACTATGTAGGGGAAACATAACTATATATAGCCCTGTTCTAAATTGCTCTGGAAATTAGAATAGCTATAAAAATTCTAATGTTTTAAGTGCTAACATTCTTTCCATTTGAACTCTTCCCATATCAACTTCTAGATCCCATCCCAAGCTCCTTCCTCCCACACACATGCCAGGGCCTTCATCAACCTTTTTGTGTGCCTCCCTGTGAACATATGCCTATAGGAAGTTCTCTGGAAGTTATTAAGGAGGCTTGAGGTCTTTAGAAATATAAATTATGTATTACGCAAAGGGATTTTTATTATTTTGACTAAAGCTCCTTTGGACTGAGAAGAAGGGCAGCAGAGAAATTGGCACTCTATGGCTTTGTGTTATAGTGTCAAAAGGAAAGGGAAGAATAATTAGGAGGTCCACCCCTAAGGAGAGAAGACAGAGTCTCTGGATTTTACTTCACCTCCTTGGAAAGGACCAAGTCTATAAGCTAGGGTCACAACTGTATACTTCTCATAAACGTTATACTTCCTACTCCTATTGACCTCCCCATAGTCATTGCTAATGCAATTATTGAAAAAAAATTCAGTATTTCTTGTGTCAATAAAGAAGAGGAAACTAGGAATAGGAAGACTGTTTCCCATCCCACAGGATTTGAAGGAAAGGAAGTACATAGGATAAAATAAGTAAATCCGAAGAAAGAAGTTGTTGTCTGGGGTGAACTACAGAAGACAAAAAAAAAAAAAAAAATGCAAGAGCCATTTGGACAGAACATATAGCCTGGAGCTGATCCACATAACCCAAATAAAAGTTAAGGTCCCACATGGACCACTTAGCATGGAGTTTCATTCAAAGAAATGCAGAAACATATGGGAATTAAAAATAATTAAAAGCAATTCATGTCTCTAGCAGACTTCAAAAGGGAGTGTAGCTGGTAAATCATAGCAACTCTTTCCCCCTCCCCGCCTCATGCTCTTCATTTTACTCACAGATAGCAACTACTCTGATCCTTTCTCTTCACCCTTCATTTTCATTTCTTTAGCAGGATTTCTCTCTCCAGAAATCCCCTTTCTGATGCTCTTATTATTTTCTCTTCTATCTACAAATAGCTCCTATACCTCTTTGAGGTGTTAATGATTCAAACCAACTTTATTTCATGCATTTCTTAAGCCCTTCCTACCCATCATGTCAATTCTAGACAACATGAGTCCAGGAACTAAACCAGACTTAGAATATTTTACTCAAGAAGAGAGAGAGAGAAGGTGAATGGCCCAAGACAGAATTCTCAGTCGTGAGTAAAGAGGAAGCAAAAATCTTGAAAATGTGTTCACTTCAATGTTTTTTTGTTTTATCTTCACCACACACAGAAAGTCCCAAATGCCCTAAGGTTGCTGCTCACAGCTGCTGTACATGACCTACCACCGCTTACTCCTTTTTCTATTCTTCAGCATGCCTATCCCTACTCTTCCCAAGTACCACTCTGTCATACCTTAGGATTCAGTGGGACAATGCAGGACCAGGAAGGAAGAGATAAGGTTTAAAGTTAGACTCATTACTAGTCAGAAGTTATGGGAGCCAATGTACCCCTAAGCCCAAGAACAGTTGGGCTACCTTAAGGGTTAAAGAAAGCAAAGGTGGAGCACAGTCCAGGCAGGGAGTGGCCAAGGGGATTTTGGTGTTATTTGTGTAAAATCAAAGGGGAAGTATTAGGGAGTCTGGAGTGGGGAATACCTGGAGAAGACTGACAGGAAACGTGAGGAAATTTATCAGAAAGTTAATAAACACAGCCAATACACTTGGAACTCTCAGTGTCAGTGGCTCTGATCTCAGGAAAGGGTCTGCAGAGAGCAAGGCTGGGACAATAGAAATCATCCAGTTCTGAGAGTTTCCATGCACTCAGGTGACGGGTGGTAGACATGGGGAAGGGTGTAGCTTCCATCTCTGAAATTCTGTAAGCCTATGAGACATAAATATCAAATACCTATAAGGAAAAATAAGAAGGGAGTTATAAGAGTATGAACAAAGGGCCATGGGGGGAAAAGTGGGCAGAAAGAGGATTTAGTTGGTGTAATGAGGAAAGGTCAGCATTTGAAAAAGTCCTTTGAGGTTGGGTAGAAGTTCAGTAGGCAGAGAAAAGGGGTAAGGCATGCCCAGGTAGAGGGAATATCCAGAGAAAAGGTAGAAAGTCTGAGGAAATGGGCATGTCTGGGGAACAGTAGGAAATCTTGAGTTTGGCTATCATCTAGGGTAGGATATAAAGAATATGGTGTTGGAAAGGTGAGTTAGGGTCACATGATAAAGGATCTCAAAAATGAAGCTGAGAAGCTTGTGATTAATTCAGTGGGCAATTAAGAATAAGGCTCTTCAGCAGGATCATGATCATAGTTCTACTCTACAGAAATTTACCTGGAATCCAGAGGAGATCAATTGGGATAAGGACTGATGAGAGGAAGGGAAACATACTAGAAGATGACAATAGTCCATTTTTTAGGTAATGAGACTGTAATAGGGTGATGGCGCCGGGAATGCAACTTGGTAACCATTTTAAAGAAAGAGAGTCAGAGGTGACTGCAGGGTTTTATGTGGATTTGGAGGAGCATGGTAAGTCAGAAATATGGAAACTAGAATAGCTTTATTAGTGGGGGAATGATGAAATTGGGTGCGAGTGTGTTGAGTCTGAAGTATCAGAAGGTTACCTGCGTATAAAGGTCCAATGGGAAGTTAGAAAGATGGTCTGGAACTCTGGAGATGGATTTGGACAAAATACCCAACCCTCTGGATTGTTGGATTTATTTTTAACACCAGATATCTGTCTCTGCATTTCCCACCTACAGATCCAAGTTGGACAGAAGGCAGCAAATGCATTGAAAAAAAAGCATGGAACCAATTATAGAGTTGGATCGAGTGCAGATATTTTATGTAAGTCGCTTTTTTTTTTTTTTTTTTTGCCTCTTCAATAGTATCTAAGGCACAAAAGAAGCCAGCGGACTTTGGGGAGTGGGGTGGGCAGGAGAGGGACGGAAGAGCTCCTGGGGTCAACAGGAAGTTGTGCAAATCAAAATGACCAAGGAGAAAGGGGAGTTTGTGCAAATCCAGAATTATGCTCTCTAGGGATAAGGTGTGAGCTAAAAGAAAAAAATGAATACACTGGCTCAGACCAGAACTCCCTCTGGCTTCAGTTAAAAAGAGCTCGCAAGTGAAAAGGTACAGGAGTTAGCGGGAAGAATGTTTTCCTGTGACCCTTGGTCGGTTGATTCAGTTCTCAGAGGACCTGTCAGGCTGTGGAAGCAAAGCAGGTAGGGCCTGGAGAAAGGACCTAACACAGAAAAGAATTTAGTTAAAAGGACATTGCACCGCTTTCCTTCATCCCCAGCCACCACCTCCTCCACCCACCTGAGGACCACCTGGAAAATATTTGCATAATATTAGTCCTGTTGCTCATTTTGCCTCTGTTCCTTTATATGTCAGCTCACTTGCCTTGTAGGACTAGGTTGTCTAGTCTTTGATTCAAAGACAAACTTTAAGCAGCCCTCTGCTATGTGCCACGCCTAAAGCTAGGTATTCTGGCGGGTGGGGGTTGGGGGGCAAGGGGAGACAGAGAGGCTAAACGAGATGGGATTCCTGCCCTACGGGGGCTTCATATCAATGAGAGGGTGAAGACAGCTCTCGGTGAATCTTTAATATAAAGAAATGTACTCATTTGCTGCCTTGAACCTTTATTCCCAGAAATGGCCATAGAAACCTGTCTTTTCACAATATAACTTCTACCTCTGCCTTCATGTTTTCATTTGTAGATGCCACATCAGGGTCCTCAAGAGACTGGGCTCGGGACATTGGGATCCCCTTCTCATACACATTTGAGCTCAGGGACAATGGTACATATGGATTTATTTTGCCGGCAGCTCAGATTCAGGCCACCTGCGAGGAGACCATGGAGGCTGTGCTCTCGGTCCTGGATGATGTATATGAGAGATACTGGAATTCAGACAGTGCTGGCAAGGTGACACCTGCCACGGTGGTGCTGGGCCTGCTAGTGTCCCTGGTGTCTATTTTCTGAGTGCATCCTACTCAGGTCTGCTCAGCCCCAATTACGAGAACGTGGCTACAGGGGAAGTGTTTGTCGGAAGTTAAGGAGGAATCAAATAATTTAAAGATACTTTCCATTTCAATAAAGATGAATCATGTTTGCATTTTCATGTGTGTTTTGCTGGTAATTAATTTTTCTTACTTTAAAAGAGTATACTGTTAGTTGTTGCTATAAAAATGCCACACCAAATCATTCTAAATTTCAGTGGCTCGTGCATCTATAGGTCAGCTGAGAAGTTCTGCTGATCTTGGCCACGCTCACTTGTGCATCTGTGGTCAGTTTCAGGGTAGCTACCCTGGGGCCTCGAGCCTTTTTTTCTCATCTAAATATTTTGAAAAATTTGCTCATGCTTTTGAATGAGGTTCACTTTTAATTTTGTATTATCGATTTAGTAGCAGCATTCAGAAGATGTTACATAATGTTTCTTTATGCCTCTTGCTGGCTTCATTTATTTCATATTTTTATTTATTTATTTATTTGAAAATCCTTTTTGAGAATCTGCGAGGTATGTTTTGCTAGGCTTTGGAGTTACAGTGGTGAATAAGATAGACATGGTCCCTGTCCTTTTGGAATTTCTATTCCAGTGGGTAAGATTGTGGATGGTGGCTATAAATAATTGAAATAGACACACTGTTGCATACAGGGCAAATCTCGGCTCAGGGGAGCCAGAGCAATCAAGAACACAAATAAATAAACTGAATATTGCAGCTTGTGACAGGTGCTATGAGAGAAATAAAGAGTAAGTAGAGAGGTAAGCAAGGACCGGATTGTACGTATACAGGAATACAGGCATTTAATTGTGCTATCTTGTCTATTAAACTGTGAGTGCTCTTAAGGTAGTGTCTATGACTGTCATTTCCTATGTATCTCTAGGTGACACCTTGAAATGGTGCTAAGCACTTGTCAGGCTTGGAACAAATGTTGTAGCTGTAACCAGCTGACAGAGCATTCTTGGGTGTTCAGTCACCCATTTCTAAATTTCCTTGTTGGTCACAGTCACAATATACTTCTTGGTTGTAACCCTTTTACTGCCTTTCTTTGTCCTCTTTATTTCTTCCTGTTTTGCCAGTGTGTGGCTGATAAGGGTCAGAAAGAAAAAAAAAATGTCAGGGGCAATAGGGCTGAATGAATCAGAGAACAGCTATTTACATAAAAATGCCAAATCCACAATTGTGGCATTGTCAGGAAAAAATGGTAGAGTCTCATCAGTAGTCAGCCCAGCAGGGGGAAAAAAAAAACAAAACAAAAAAAAACTCGTGTGACCACCAATGCTATGTTCAAGAAGAAAGTGAGGGAGCTGTACCTTGGAACATGAGTTATTAGCTTTCATCTAGCCTGTGTTTTAGTTTCTATGACTATCTTTTAACAATTTGGACCTCTAAGTATTATAGGAATTCTGACCTATGAATCTTAATTTATGTCAAAAGATTGAACCTGTGGGCAAATAAAATCGGAAGGGAACAGATGGAAATGCAAGCTATTAGCTTGCCTGAAACTTCTTACAATGGATTCTTCAAGAGTCTAGGACACAATCATAGCTTTCTTGGGGGGCTTCACATGGCTGTGAGGGCATGAGGGGATCTGAGGGCCAGAATATGTTTTTTACTTCTTCTGAAAGTTTTTTATTTCTTGTGAAAGGATCCTAAGAGCAAGGGTGGAATGGTGATAAACAACCATACTGATCTTTTCAAGGAAGTTTTCAACTTCTTGTCTTAAATGGCAAGAGGTTGGGAAAACTACACAACAGATGCAATTAATTAAATCTTGAAAGTATCTTGTCTTCTGACTTTGTGGGGCCTGGGATTTGATATTACCCTACTTTAAAGCTAAGAAGTTGCCTTGTTACTGTTTCATGAATGTTGGAGGACAGGAGACTGGAGTCAGAGACACAAGACAGCATTACTCACAGCACAGTAAGCAGCTTGAGCATCAACATATTTACATTGGTTCATCTTGCTCTCAAGTTCCAGAGGAGCCTAGACAACACCTGCTAAGGTAGTGAGTTGCGTTATAGGAGAGAAATACTGAGCTTGAAGACTTTGCTGCTTTTATAGCAAGCAGTAAGCAAGCCTGCGCTTTATCCCAGTAAGAGACACTTACTCATTAATCTCAGTTGCTTGCTTCCTTCAGACACAACTCTGAGAAATGGACCAGAGCCGCACATCCTTAGCATAGCCAGCAAGATGTGGAGGAGCAAGAGAAGCCCATAGATGACTGCCTTCTAACAGGCTTTATGTATTAGGTTGAATCATATGAAATTGTTGCTTTCATTGATCAAAAAAAGTCCAAGTATTGGTGATTTTATATGGTTCAACATAACTTCTCATTGTTAATAAAGGTGCCTCCATGGTGCCTTTTAAAACATTTTTTAGAAAGTTTGAATATACTGCCTTTTCTGTTACTATTTCTTTCCTTCTACCAAATTCTGTTGGTACTTTTTTCCATAACTGTTCCTACAAAGGATCTAAATCTTCTTGACTTATAGGTAAATTTAGAGTTTAAAATGATGCAAAATGATAAATTCAGATGGTATCCAAGCCTCTAACTCCTATTTTTTTCTACATCAGTGTCAAAATGAGTTATATTTTTGTTTCCACTATGTATGACCAAGCTCCCGTTTCCCTTCCTTTTCTTATGCAGTTTAACCATCTTTTGATATGTTACTAAAAATACGTTCTTCATATCACCCCAGTATTATTCTTATCTTGTGCATATAATTTGAATCTGGCATAAATGTATCATGGCACTAAGGGAAGCCCACTCTCCAAATATATAAAATTACAATACTAACTATAAAGGAGTTAAAAATTAAAATGAATAATTATTAATTTCTGTTACACTATGAAGTGATTGAAATACTTTATGTATATCACCTCGTGTAATACTCATAAGAATCTGGAGTTAGGGGGCCTCTGAATGGTTCAGTTGGTCGGGCATCTGCCTTTGGCTCAGGTCCTGATCCCAGGATCCTGGGATCAAATCCTGCATCGGGCTCCCTGCCCTGTGGGGAGACTGCTTCTGCCTCTGCCTCTTTCTTTCTCTGTCTTTCATGAATAAATAAATGAAATCTTAAAAATAATAATAATAAAAAAGAGTCCTGAGCTAGGTACTTTTATGTATTTGATGGAAAAATTGAGACAAAGAGAAGTAGCGTGCCCATGCTCACACGGTTCTTAATAATTGTTGATTGATCAAATAATTATTGAGAATTTCATATTTATAGGAATTTTCTGGCTCTAGGATATCAGAAGCACTGTCAGTGCTTCATCCAGATCCCTTCAGGCCCCTTTTCCTGTATCTCTCTCTCTGTCCTTGACATGTTTTTTTCTCTAACAGCTCACACATAGGTGACTCGTCTTCTGATGGCTACCCTTTGGCTACTGCACATACTTTTCCTGCAGCCACAGAGAGTGAGACACATATGGAGTTTGCACTCACCACCAGAAACCCCTATCACCTGCCTGGATGGGAACTGACAAGTATAACACCCTGTCCCCTTGCAGCAAGTTGGGGAAAACACAGAAGTATAACTCAGGTTGCAGAGATCTTGTGGCATGAGGTTGAAGTTACCCTCCACAGAACTTTCTCTGAGGTGCATGGCTTCTTCCCTGCTCCTGTCCTGCTACTCCCACTCCTTACCAGCTTATCTTGGGAGCACGTCATGAGTAAACCATTTGTACATGAATCCTTACTGATGGGTCTATGTCTGGGGACCCCAACATAGGACACCTCCCTTGGGAGTTATTACCAAAACAAAATATATTCTTAATTTCCTAAAATGACCATTAATAAAAGTCATACTAGGATTTAATAATCAGAATATGTCTGAGGATTATGAATGTCTTATAGACAGAAATATTCTTATGTTGAAGATGTTATCATTCTAGAATGTGAGAAAACTTGTTTCAGATAAGACTTTTATTTCAGAAAAGCAAATACATTTCCAGTTTTGTCCTTACTGAATGCAAAGAAAAAAAAACAATCAGCGTTCATGGACTTGTACATTTTGAAGTATCTGCTGTTTTGATAAAAGTTTATTGGAAAATAATGCCACCTAACCACAGTTTCCCACTCTGCTAGAGTGAAGACTGCATAGTCTTTTCTTAGCTTCCAAAAAAGGAATTTTATTTCTTTCTAGGAGTCATTCATTTAAAATAATAATAATAAAAAGTAAGGCTCCAGAGAGCTTCAATGGTGAGTGTATTAACTCCTTCCGAAGTTGCAAGTACTTTTTCCATGGAGCTCTTATTACGTTTCTTTCTGAGAACTTGTAATTTTTTTAAAATATATTTGAAAAAATAAAAAAAAGATTTGAGCAAGTCACCCTGAAAATAATGGTGCAAATCAAAGGTGAACAGTGCATTTTCTCTTCCCACAGATGATGCAAAAGCAACCACAAAAACACAGAGGAGGCAAAGAGTAATATGTATTCATGGGTTTGAACTCCCTGAAAACCCAATTAACTAGGTAGAGGATCATGAGACGTGAGGTAGAAAGTCAAGGTGGAATCAGGTGGTTGAAGATCCTAAATGTGGAACAATTTGGATTTTATTCCTATAGGCTCCCCAGAGTCCCGATGTTTTTGCACAGGGAAGATAAATACATGCACGCTGTGTAAAGTCTGGGAGGATGAATTAGAAGGAGACAGTTGGAGTGGAGAAGTCTGAGGCAAACAGTTCGGAAAATATACTGTGCACATATCAACTGAATAAGACTCAAGTGGAGTTGGAGGCTGTAAAAATGGAAACAAGGGACAGAAATCAGAGGTGTTTTTCAGAAAGATTCAATATGGGGTCAATTTGAAAATGGATATGTGGAAAAGGAAGGTAGAAATTACTGCCTGTGGACGATTAGAAAAATTATGGTGTTATCAGATCATGGGAACTTGCCTTAAGTCAAATTGGTTTCATCCCTACCTAGAAAAGGTACAAGAGACCAATGCTGAAAGTGAACTTATAAATTCATGGAAGCCAGAAGGGAAGCAGTATGAAAAAATGAGGAACCACTAGTTTTAGACAGGAAGTAGGAAATGCCAAGTTGTCATGTTGAAGTGTCAGTTGAAACTTAGGTTTGCTTTCCAACTTTAGAGCAGGTCTCTAGTCA